AAAGCACTCAGTGCTGGGAGGGGAATGATCAACAGCTTTCAGCAACCCGCAGGCCTGGATGGGAACTCAGCAAAGGGGCCGTGGGACAAGCCACTCACTTGGGATAGGAGGAGTCTCCGAGGCCCAGCACGGCATAGTCCATCTGGCAAAGGGAGGCGGGGGACAGGTTCTTTCGGAAAATAAACCTCCAGAAATTCTACAAGCAAACACAGTCAAGAATCGCATGGCTCCAGCGTGCACCCATCCCACAGCCTGCTTTGCCCTCCTGCCCTGCACTGCCCTGAGGGCCCAATCCTGCTGGGACGGGGCCGTGATCGACTGGGGTCTGTCTCAGTTGCGTGATCGGTTCAGCTGAGTCCTTGGAGATGCAGAATACAATGCGTTCTCTGGTTTATCCAGCAAACTGAAGCCAGGAAACAAGCAACAGTCGGCCTTGCCATGGTGTCAGTTGGCAGGGAGCACTCGGCAAGCAGAAGGCAAGCCCTGCCTTGCCATGACAGCAGGACAAACTGAGGCCATCATCACTCAGCAAGCTGCTGAGATCGCATCACCTTCCACGTTTATGTCCCAGCAAAAGTAGGGGACGCTTCTCAGCTCCAAAGCCTCCCCAAAGAAAGGCTGCAACGGGGCTATTGTTGCACGGGGTCCCATGTAGCCCCATGATCCCCATCTCCGGCGCCCCTCCAGGTCCCCATAACCCCTCCACCACTCCCTACACATCCCACCCGCCCTCCCCAAATCGCTGCAGGCAGGCGCCACCTGCTGCTGCTTGCCTGTTTAGGAAACAATCGGTCTCGCAGAAACACAGTCACAGGAGTCAAACTGGGGGTAGAAACAATACCTTCATGTTGTCAGGCGGGTCCCCTTGGCCTGTGGTTGCACACACAAATACCACCAGCAGCTCCTGGATCAGCTGCGCCTGCGTGCACAACAAACATGGACACACACGGTTAGGGCCAGCAACCTTCAACAACCACTGGCAAACTGCACAAGACAGCGCACAGCGCCCCCCTGCCCCTCCTTGGCACAGCCCCACACTGCCCCCTCACAGCCAGACCCCCCTACACCCGCACAGCCACAGCCCTGCATACTGCACCCCCTCTCCACATAGTCAGACCCCCCCACACAGCCCCAGTCCTGCACACTGCCCCCCAGCACAGCCAGCCCTGCCGGCACAGTCCCAGCTCTGCACACCGCCCCCCGCACAGCCAGACCCACATACTGCCCCCCCAGCCCTGCATACCACCCCCCAACACAGCTCCAACCCTGCACAACCAGACCCCCTGCACAGCCCCAGTCCCACGCACTGCCCCTCCGCACGCCCACACGCACCCCCCACCAACGCGCGCCCCCCCCCCCCGGACCCCCCCCCCCCCCCCCAGCTCCATCCCCGCACAGCCTCAGCCCTCCACACTGCCCCCCTGTACAGCCAGACCCCCACACCGCCCTCCTGCACAGCCCCAGCCCTGCACACTGTCCCCCCGCACAGCCCCAGCCCCTCACAAGGTCCTCCCCCACAGCCCCAGCCCCCCACAGCGCTCTCCCGCACAGGACACCAGCAGGGAGGGCATTCTGGGGACAGGCAGGCTGGTGAGCACAGCATGGATCCTCCCGTCAGCAGGATCTCATCCAGCAGCTTTAACCAAGCCCAGGTTTACGCAGTACAGCCGTGTGCTCAGAAGGGCCTGGCGCACTTTGTCCAAGCCTCTCGGCCCACCCAGCACAGCACGAACAGCAGGTTTTAACAAGACCCGTTTGTGGTTTTCGCAAGTGGCTTTGTTTTATCTTATTCTGGCCCCTGACACCCCCAGTTTCTGCAGGACACGCTCATGCTCTTTGTCTCGTAGAAAATGGCTCTAAGTAAACCCAGGGTGGCACCAATTTGCACTAACACAGCTAAAGGCGTGTTTAACTCCTTCCCAGTTCTCAGTCTCTGCAGCAGCGTAGAGCTTGTGAGCTTGCAAGGGGACTTGGAGGCCAGCGCACAAGCCAAGCCTTGTCAGAGCGCAGGTGGCTGACGTGCGGCCGGGGTGCTATCCAGGGCACCCTGAAAGGAACTCAGTGGCAAGGGATGAATATAGAAGCTGCACAAGGCTCTTCTCGGCCTCAGCACTCATTTTACCCCCATACTCACCACAGGGTAACTGTCCAGGGCCTCTACCCTGCAGTGAAAGCGGCGCCGCTTGGCTTCCCTGCCAATTCTCTCGGCTGTATCTTGAGCTGTCCCAGTCTGGCTGCCAAAGAGAACGAGGAGCTTCCGTTCCGCCATCTGAAAGAGACAAAACTACTCAACAGAGCCCTCGAATAGCTCAGGGGCACTGTCAGGCTGGGAGCCACTCCGGGGAGTCACCGGAGCTTCGGCAGGGTTCCGTCTGGGTGTACCAGGGAGCGATGCTTCGGCACCTAGCAAATACCAGGGGCTAAGGGTTAGAACAAGGCACTAGCACTCAGAGAGTCTGGGCTCTAGTCCCAGGCCCGCTGGGCAGCCTTGGGCCAGGCGTGCCCTCTGGGCTGCAGTTTGCCCATCTGCAAAATGCATGTGACAATACATGACTACCTCATTGGCTGAAAGAGGGGTGCTGAGACTTAATTAACCTTTGAGAGTCTCCAAAGAGAAACATCAGCGGGGGGACAAAGTAGCATGATCACTACTGCCGAGCCTCTCCCTCGGCAAAGGGACTTGACAGCAGCTCCAAATAAAGCGACGCTGTTGACTCAAAGTCGAGCCGACTGTAGACAATGATTTCAAAGTAGTGTCAGGCCCCGGTCTTGCCCTACAGCCCCCTGCCAACTGCTGTTGATTTGCAATCCCACTTTCCTAGCTTTCAAATGTTTCCCACCCCTCCAGGACTGGCTCCAGGCACCAGCAAACCAAGCGCGTGCTTGGGGCGGCACAGTTCCAGGGGCAGCACTCCGGCCACCTTTTTGTTTCTTGTTGTTGCTTCAGCAGTTGCGCTCTCGGAGGGTTTTATTTTGCTTGGGGCAGCAAAAAACCTAGAGCCGGCCCTGCACCCCTCGTTGCTGTGTGAAGGACCCACACACATAGGAGAAGTGACTCACTGTCTAGAACGGGAACAGCAACACTAGCTAGACGCAAAGTGCCACCAACTGTACAAAGATCTGACCAGAGGATTTTTCCTCCCTAATCTCTTTCGGTGCCAGGGATCCTGTGTGCATGGCTCTCGTGTCGGTAGCACACCACAGACCCAGGTCAGACTGAAGCCTGAGGTTCAAGTTGATGGTGTCCCTGGAAGGACTAAGGCAGTGGTTCTCAAACTTTTGTGCTGGTGACCCCTTTCAAACAGCAAGCATGTTGCTTATAAATTAAAAACACTTTTTATATATTTAACACCATTATGTATGGATGCAAAGCAGGGTTTGGGGTGGAGGCTGATAGCTCGCGACCCCCATGTAATAACCTTGCGACCCCCTGAGGGGTCCCGACCCCCAGTTTGAGAACCCCTGGACTACGGGATGTATCTTACTTCCAACCAAGGAGAGAGTGAAACTCCCACCAACTCCAGCGGGGGCAGTATCGGGCACTTATTTGCTTTTTTAAAAATGTCTATGGTACCTGCCCACTGCTGTAGTGTCAGGGTGCTCGGTCAGCAGCCAACAGCAGAGTCGTCCCCCAACAGCCCCAGGGCCAGACACCTGATTCCAAAAGGGTCAGGGGGCCACAGTCAGCCCTTTGGGGCAGATTCTCTGATCCATACCACTCAGCCAGCACTGAGAGCAGAAACACCTGCCAGACCTGCTGGAATTCCCTCTGCTTTGAGGGAGGGGAGTCTCCAGTGGGCACAGAGCCAGTATGTTCCCACATCACCACTCCCACAGCCCCGGGTGCAGGTGGCATGTTGGGGTGCAGGGGGGCACATCAGATGTGGAAGGGGCAGCGGCTGTTGCAGGCTGTGCTCCAACTCCCAGCAGGAGTGGGGTCCCCAGGGGACTGATGGCAGCTAGTGCGGGTTAGGGTAACCCCCAGGCTGCTCTGCCCGGGGCTGGGGCAGAGAATCGGGAACTGGAACTGCTGGTGGCTCTCACCTCTCCCAGCAACTGTGTGGGGCTCAGTCCCCTCTAAGCTGCGCAGCTGCGCAGCAGCCTAAAAAGCGCCGTCCAGCAGGGCGAGATTCCTCTTCCCCAGCCCCGGCCCTGCCAGGGGAGAAGCGCCCCTCCCCGGCCCCAACCCAGCCCAGCCCTGCTGCGGACGGGGGAGAGGTGCCCCTCCCCGAGCCCCAACCCAACCCGGCCCTGCCGCGGCCAGGGGAGAGGCGCCTATTCCATGGCCCCAGCCCCAGCCCTGCCAGGGGAGAGAGAGCTGGGCGGACTCCTCTCTCCCCCCCCATAGCCCCGGGGAAGGCCTGCACCCCAAACCCCTCAACCCTGGCCCCACCCAGAGCCCTCACCCCCCCCCGCTCCAGACCTTAGCCCCCTCCTGCATCCCAGCTCCACCCCAGAGTCCGCAACCCCCCCATACCCCAGCCCTGTGCCCCCCCCACATGAATTTTGTTATGGGCACCAAAATGGAGATGATGTGTCACACATCACCTCCATTTTGGTGCCCATAACAAAATTCATTCCACACACGCGTGGTAAAAATCAGAGGGAGCACTGGTGTGGGAGCAGGGAGCCGTCTGGTGCCAGAGGCTGCTCTAGGCTCAGGCAAAGCCAGTCAAGCCCCTGCCCTGCCCTGCTCTCCCTGGGCGCCCAGCAGGGAAGCAGCTGACCGAGCAGCCAGAGCTACTCGCTTGCCCCCACCTCAGTGCAGCAATGAACCCATGGGAAACAATGAACCCAATCTCCTCCCCATAGCGATGGGGATTGAACCCACTGCCTCTTGTCCTGCCCTCTGTGGCAAGAGAGAACAACTTTTCTCCATCTGTTTTATGGCAGCCTTTCAAGTCTTTGACGAGCGTTCTCATGTCCTCCCTTAATCTTCTCTCTTCCAAACTAAACATTCCCAGTTGCTTCAGCCTTTGCTCGTATGGTATGCATTCCATCCCTCTGATCATCTTTGTCGCTCACCTCTGGATCCTCCCCAGTTTCTCTACATCCTTTCTACATATTGACCACCAAAATTGGACACAGTCCTCCAGCTAAGCCCCAACCAGTACTGAGTAGTACTCTATCATCTCCTGTGACCTGCTCTGTTAAAGCAACCTAAACTCACATTTGCTTTTTTTTGCAATAGCATCGCATTGCTGACTCATGTAGAGGTTGTGATCCACCACAGCTCCCAGATCCTTCTCAGCAGTGCTGCTGCCAAGCCAGTTCTCCCCCAGTCTGTATTTGTGCATTTGGTTTTTCTTCCCCAAGTGGAGCACTTTACATTTGTCTTTGTTGAATTTCATTTTGTTGTCTATAGCCCAGTTCTCCAATTTATCAAGATCCCTCTGAAATGTAGCTCTATCCTCCAAAGTGTTGGCAACCCCCCTAGCTTTGAGTCATCTGCAAATCTGATCCGTGTGCTCTCTAGATCTACATCCAGGTCATTAATAAAGATGTTAAACAACACCGGACCCAGAACAGATCCCTGTGGAACCCCATTTGAGACCTCCCTCCAGCCTGACATCATCCCATTAATTGTTACTCTTTGTTTGCGGTTCTTTAACCAATGATGTATCCACTTAATGATAGTTCTGCCAAACCCGCATTTCTCCAGCTTACCTATCAGAATGTCATGTGGGATTGTATCAAAAGCCTTGCTGAAGTCCATGTACATAAATTATGTCCACCGCATTCCTCCTATCCCCCAAACCTGGCTGTTGGACCAGGCAGCAAGTTACCAGGATGGCTCCCATCCACCTCCTCCCACTTACGTGTAGCCAGGAGATTCTGACAACTTCATCTGGATGAGGATTTTGCAATTGCCATCTATGCCCTTGTCACAATGATGCAGTGTGCTCTATATTTTAAATCCATCTGGAAACCGAATCTGACATAAAAGTCGACCACCTGTTTGTGAAGTATCTCACAGTGGGATCTGCCTGTGTGAGACACTTGTCTTCTCTCCTGGAGATATTCCGCCACGGGGCAGTCAGCAGATGGGCTTGAGCTAGAGTCTCCTAGATATAAATGAGAGGGATTTGCTGACAGGACATTCTCCGTGAGGGGCTGACACACAGCGGTGGTTCACTGCTCTATGGCAGCAACACCTGTCAGGCCTGACATACACACTACACCTAACATACTGTTGCTATGATATAGACCCTAAATGATACAATGTAATGTACCACTGGAAAACTCACAACTCACCGATCATTAATATTAGTGTGTGGTGTATGTACAGGTAACATGCAAAATTACAAATGTGCTGGAACTACGTTCTTAAAATGGCAGGCAGGCAGGTCATAGGGTACCCCAATCTAGACAAAGGAATGTGGTTCTGCCAGCTTGAATGTGTCTCCAAGGTAAATCAAGAGATATTGGAAATGTTTTTACATAAACATAAACAAAGTCATCAAGCTAACAAAGAGAGGCACCAGCATGTATCAACTGATTGTATACAATATGACTGTATTATAAAAGTGTATTGAATAAAATCTCTTATGAAAGCCTGTGACAGACTGGTGACTAATATTGTGAAATGTCTGCACTAACACTATATGAGGAATTATGGGCATTCACTGATATGACGCTTTAAAGTCTGTGACCAAACACAGGGAGAAACGCGTTTTCTCCCAGACAGGAGGGAAGGCAGCTACCTACCTGTCTCCAATCCATGTAAATTAAGCAGTGTGGACTGAATACAATGGAAGCCCAATTTACATATAAATCAGCAGGGGGGTGGGTAGCCCACAGGAAGGGAAGAACAGCAAAAAGCCTTCCTGGCTCTTGAAAGAGACACAATGCATTTGGGGATGATATAAGGGGGGTAAAAAGACATTTAAGGTATCATTCATCTCGGGGATTCAAGGGCCCGGAGCTCTTGAAATCACAGAGGGCTGGGTCCTTCAACCAAGGGGCTTGAAATCTCTGGGAACTAAGTTTAGGTAGGAAACTTACTGAGGCAAAGATTTCCATTACTTGCGTCTGATGAAGTGGGCATTCACCCACGAAAGCTTATGCTCCAATACCTCTGTTAGTCTTAAAGGTGCCACAGGACCCTCTGTTGCTTTTTACAGATTCAGACTAACATGGCTACCCCTCTGATACTTGAGGCAAAGATTGTAATTTGCTGAAACTAAGTTTAAATCTATCTCATATCTCATCTCAAAAAAAGATATACTGGCATTAGAAAAAGTTCAGAAAAGGGCAACTAAAATGATTAGGGGTTAGGAACGGGTCTCATATGAAGAGAGATTAAAGAGGCTAGGACTTTTCAGCTTGGAAAAGAGGAGACTAAGAGGGGATATGATAGAGGTATATAAAATCATGAGTGGTGTGGAGAAAGTGAATAAGGAAAAGTTATTTACTTGTTCCCATAATATAAGAACTAGGGGCCACCAAATGAAATTAATGGGCAGCAGGTTTAAAACCAATAAAAGGAAGTTCTTCTTCACACAGCGCACAGTCAACCTGTGGAACTCCTTGCCTGAGGAGGTTGTGAAGGCTAGGACTATAACAGTGTTTAAAAGAGAACTGGATAAATTCCTGGAGGTTAAGTCCATTAATGGCTATTAGTCAGGATGGGTAAGGAATGGTGTCCCTAGTGTCTGTTTGTCAGATGGTGGGGATGGATGGCAGGAGAGAGATCACTTGATCATTACCTGTTAGGTTCACTCCCTCTGGGGCACCTGACATTGGCCACTGTCGGTAGACAGGATACTGGGCTGGATAGACCTTTGATCTTACCCAGTATGGCCGTTCTTACGTTCTTAAATCTTAAAGTGTATTTCTACTTTTGTTTGTTTGTAACCCTATCTTTATTCCCTATACCTGGTATCAGTTAAGCCTTTTGTTTAATAAACTTATTTTTTTTATCTAAACCAGCTCAGTACTGTGATTGAAATGAGTGTTTGTTAAACATCAGTTAGATTAATGAGCTGCTGTTTCTGTCTCTTTAAAGGAGCTGCACATTTAATAACTGTGAATAATTTGGACAATTGTAATGTCAAGCTTGAACTGAACAAAAGTATTGTCAATGTTAGGCCTCAAACTTCCAGAAGTTTCACAAAGCGAGCCTTGTAAAATTAGCTTTAAAAAGCAAGCTTTGCCAAAGGAAACAGACTTGTGGTCAAAACGCGCTGCAACCAAATAACACAAGATGCTGACTCCTACAAAGTGAGATAAGTTGTACCCCCCCGGGCACAGCTTGTCTAACTCACATTAACCACATTTAAAACAATAAATTATACAGTCAAAGTGACACAAGGAGATAAGTAAGCAAAAATTATACAGGCAAAGCGACAGCACAGACCACACTGAGAATTTGGCCTACTCTGATTGGTCAGTCTGTTTTAAAACACGGCCGAACAGACAAGATAAAAAAAACGAAGGCACAGGACTGTGTGTTTGTCGGTCACTAGGGAAACCTGACCCACACCCCCTGAACTGAAGGGACGTGCACTTCTCAACTGTCTGTACCTGGCCAGTGCGGAAAACGGCCGACTGAAAGGTAACGTATTTTCGGACAAATGCAGTATAAGTTTATGGAGTAAAGAAGTCTGGTTGCTCAAGCTGAATTGATCTCAAGTCTGTATTGATACTATAGTGTTAAGAATAGTAGTAAGTAGCTGATGAATAATAACTTTACATGTACTTGTCTTCAGTATAACTTGCCATTTATATTCATCCTTATTCAGTGTTGGTCTTTATTCTTGCTTTTCTTATTTTGTCTGTCTTGCCTTTATAGTCGAAAGTCATTAAAAACCTTTTTTGAGGAATAATCAGTTTTAAATTTTCTTATACGGGCACTACTCAATCTCATTACATCTGTGTTGGGTGGTGGGAAGTGGCAATCCCCCAGGGAACAACTAAGGCCCTGATGCATGTCCCCCTCTTCCTTCATCTCTGCACTAAAGTCTGTGTTCCAGGAGATGGCTCCAGAGGGAGACAGTTTTGTGGAAATTTTGGACTAGATAGGGTATGGGGGGTCATTCTGCAAAAACACTAACTGGGCAGTGGAAGCCAGGGTATGACCTGCATGCTTGTCTGCTGGCTAGTGATGTATGGGCTGTGAAATATAGCAGCATAGTATTTAAGACACCCAGAGTTGCAGAGCAGGGGGTGATACAACCCCTTACTGGTCTGGGTTGAACCCCAAAATGTCACAGAGTATTAACTTTGGACCCAGCTCTGGGCCCACCTACTCTCCCTGGCATTTGAAAGGGCAAGGATTATGAGGGTGGAATTGTTCAATCTTTATTTTCTGCTACATCCCTTCTGGAACTGTAGCAGCTGTAGAACTTGTAACTGTATTTTGGCAAAGCTCCTACAGCAAGGAATAGAATCACAGAATCATAGAACTGGAAGGGACCTGGAGAGGTCATCTAGTCCAGTCCCCTGCACGCGAGGCAGGACTAATTATCTAGACCATTCCTGACAGGTGTTTGTCTAACCTGCTCTTAAAAGTCTCCAATGATGGACATTCCACAACCTCCCTAGGCAATGTATTCCAGTGCTTAACCACCCTGACAGTTAGGAAGTTTTTCTTAATGTCCAACCTAAACCGCCCTTGCTGCAATTTAAGCCCATTGTTTCTTGTCCTATCCTCAGAGGTTAAGAACAATTCTTCTCCCTCCTCCTTGTAACAACCTTTTATGTACTTGAAAACTGTTGTCATGTCCCCTCTCAGTCTTCTCCTCTCCAGACTAAACAAACCCAATTTTTTCTATCTTGCCTCATAGGTCATGTTTTCTAGACTGTTAATCATTTTTGTTGTTCTTCTCTGGACTCTCTCCAATTCGTCCACATCCTTCCTGAAATGTGGCGCCCAAAACTGGACACAATACTCCAGTTGAGGCCTAATCAGAGCGGAGTAGAGCGGAAGAATTACTTCTCATGTCCTGCTTACAACACTCCTGCTAATACATCCCAGAATGATGTTTGCTTTTTTTGCAACAGCGTTACACTGATGACTCATATTTAGCTTGTGGTCCACTATGACCCCCAGATCCATTTCCACAGTACTCCTTCCTAGGCAGTCATTTCCCACTTTGTATGTGTGCAACTGATTGGTCCTTCCTGGAGTACTTTACATTTGTCCTTACTGAATTCCATCCTATTTACTTCAGACCATTTCTCCAGATCATTTTGAATTTTAATCCTATCCTCCAAAGCACTTGCAAACCCCCCACCCCAGCTTGGTATCATCCACAAACTTTGTAAGTGTACTCTCTATGCCATTATCTAAATCATTGAGGAAGATATTGAACAGAACCGGACACAGAACTGATCCCTGCAGGACCCCACTCGTTATGCCCTTCCAGCATGACTATGAACCACTGTTAATTACTCTCTGGGAACAGTTTTCCCACCAATTTTGCACCCACCTTATAATAGCTCCATCTAGGTTGCAGTTCCCTAGTTTATTTATGAAAGATTTATAATAGATGCTTTTTTATTTATAACAGATGCTTTTATCTTTTTGTCCCTCTATAAAATGAAATAAATAAATCTAGAGTTAAGGTTGGTAGGTGACAAAGCCATTACAAACCCCCTTACCAGGAAGTCCACAGCTAAGAAAGCGTAAGTATTAAAGTATAGAAATGATAAGTGAAGTTAAGGTAGGTGATGGTCAGACAAAGCTTTGTGACGGGGTATTAAGGCAGAAAGCACATATCAGCAACTCGAAGGCAAAACTCCTTACAAAAATGTTGCAGTTATTGTAAAGAACAGCAACGCAGTACTCCACCCCCGTTCTCCCTGACCTATCAGCTGCTTTTGACATAGTCAGTTGGGGGCAGGTATTTGTACCTGGTAGTGTGGGCCCCTTCTGAGGGCCCTAAACACCACCTTGACCCTTCCTCTCTCCACCGTGTATTAACAGAGCTAATTTAGACTCAAGTAAGAGTCTTGTTGCATGCTGCAGAGCTGAAATCACTAATACCTAGGTCTAAGCAGTAGAAAAGAAAACGATATACTCTTGAAACCTTGTCCTGCCTTGGCTTATGACTGTCCTCCCTGGCTCTTCTCCTAATCCAGGGGTGGCCAACCTGGGGCTCTGGAGCCACATGCGGCTCTTCAGAACTTAACAGGCGGCTCCTTGTATAGGCACCGACTCCAAGGCTGGAGCTACAGGCGCCAACTTTCCAATGTGCGGGGGAGGGGGGTGCTCACTGCTCAACCCCTGGCTCTGCCCCCACTCCACCCCTTCCCGCCCCTCCCCTGAGCCTGCCGTGCCCCCGTTTCTCCCCCCACCCATCATCAGGAGGTGCCGGGAGAGAGGGGGAGGTGCTGCCGGCGGGTGGGAGCTGATGGGGGCTGCTGAGGTATTACTGTGGCTCTTTGGCAATGCACATTGGTAAATTCTGGCTCCTTCTCAGGCTGCCCCACCCGCTAATCGATCCTTCAATGTGTCCTCGGGCGGATCCTCCCCACCCTCCCACCAGCCGGCACAGGCGCCCCAGGGCTGCGTCCTTGGTCCTCCCCCGCCCAGAGACCCCGCCCCTCCGCCGGACCCGCTGCTTCCCCCTGCGCCCAGAGCGCCCAGAGGCCGCGCGGGCCGGGGCTCCCCAGCGCTGCCGCCAGGACCTGCCTGGCCGCCCCCCGCCGCGCGCAGCCAGACCGCGGGGCTCCGCCGGACCCACCTGTGCGGCCGGCAGCGCGTCGCTTCCGCTTCCGGTGACGGCATTAGCGTGCGCCGCCGCGGGGCCGGAAGTCAGGCCTGTGGGCGGGAGCTGTCTGGGAGCCGCGGCCGGGCTGTCCCTGGGCCGGGCGGGCTCTGCGCTGAGCGGGCGCTGACCGGGCCGGGCCCCGGCGCGATGCTGTTCTCGCTGCGGGAGCTGGTCCAGTGGCTGGGCTTTGCCACCTTCGAAATCTTCCTGCACGTGCTGGCGCTGCTGGTCTTCTCCGTCCTGCTGGTGCTGAAGGTGGACAGCGGCGGCGCGGAGCTGTCCTGGTGGCAAGTTTTCATCCCCTTCTTCGCGGCCGACGGCCTGAGCACGTACTTCACCACCATCGTCTCCGTGCGGCTCTTCCAGGACGGGGAGAAGCGCCTGGCCGTCCTTCGCCTCTTCTGGATCCTCACCATCCTGAGCCTGAAGTTCGTCTTCGAAATGCTTTTGTGTCAGAAACTAGTGGAGCAGACCAGGGAGCTCTGGTATGGCCTCATTATGTCCCCCGTCTTCATCCTGCTCCAGCTCCTCATGATCCGAGCCTGCAGAGTGAACTGAAGAACCGGGGCACTGAGGGTTTGTACCCACATCGCAGTGAGAGGAGCACTGTCCCGCCACTGCAGTATTAACCCCCACCCGAAGCGTTAATCGAGCCTCGCTGCTTAGTTTTTGGCAACTTTCTAGTCATTCTCTTCGACCGTATAAGTCTGAGGTGTGAGAAGAAGCTTTTGTACTTTGTTAAATTATTACATAATATTGGCCCTGTGTTTTCCCCAAATATATATTTATGTTGGGTCATTCGTCTAAGGTGCATTTCACACCTGGGCGTTAATGTTAAAAATGTCATGAAAGGCAAACCTAACCTGCTCATGTCACTTGTTTTGTAATAAAAATGTATAGATGATATTTAGTAGTCTCATTTATAAGCTCTCTTCTGTAGAAAGCCAGTACTCGTAACCTTTGCCTGGGAATGTGTGTTACTCTAGGGCTGACTGTGCCTTGACCAAGAAATTAGGACCTTGACAAAAAATAATTGACTATCCCTTCCCATTGGGTTAGTTAAATCTGCCACAGACTTCTTTGCAAAAGTCAAAATGACAGCCGAAAAGCAAATGCAGCTGTTGGTGTACCAATCCCACACAATCAGCTTGTGAAAAACTGTGCTCCAACATGTATGCAGGGTTCATGTAGGGTGACCAGACAGCAAATGTGAAAAATTGGGACAAGGGGTGGGGGGTAATAGGAGCCTATATAAGAAAAAGACCCAAAAATCGGGACTGTCCCTATAAAATTAGGACATCTGGTCACCCTAGGTTCATGACATATGGGGTTAAAAAACAGTCTTTATAGAACAAGAACTGAAGCAGTTTGACAGGGGTGTTTTCTGTGTAGATCAGTGTGTTGAATGTAGGTACCACAAGAAACTCCCAGTTCAGAAGACACTCTGAATTGTCAAATAGCCTGATGTTCTGAAGTGTGGGTTCATCCCTTACTCTGCTTTGAGAGTCTCATGATTGCAGCCAATGGGAATATTTCCCCCATTTCATAGCTACTTCAATGCCTAGGGTCAGTGGCTATAGAGTAACTGGCTGTTTTCCTGTTTGCCATGTATTTGAGATAGCCCTTTACCATTATTTTTAGTGTCATTCGTTTTGTGTACTCCATTTCTGTTTGGAGGATGGATCATGTTCTGCTCAGCTGTTATGGTGCCTCTCAACTGATGTTTGATACTGCACTTTGTGGCTTAGTAACTGTTCCTATGTGCAACTGCCGTGTCTTGGAGACTGTAGTCACTCTTCATATTTGGGAATATAAACCTTGTTTGCATGTTCCCAAAATTTTAAAATGTGGTCTATGTTAATTTCCTTTGTATTTGGAGGGGTTCTGCTTCCCCGCCTCTCCCCCACTGTGCTCCTTCAAACGGGGTGAGTGAAGGATACAGGGTCTTAAGTTTTGTTGCAACTCCAATTGTTATTTTCTTCTTTTTAAAGTATTTCTTCTGTTCCTCCCCCTCCAGCCATTTATTTATTTATAAACTGGTTCCAGGTGCTTCTAATACAGGAAGCTTCGCAGCTGTGTATATTCCTGTAGTGTTTTTCAAGGCAGTAACATGCAGGTCATCAGCATCTCATGATCTTTATTTCATGCCTGTGAACTGCCGAGGAAGTGCTACTGTACTAGAATGTTGCCTTAGTACCCAAGGAAAACAAGCTGAGATTTTCCTACTAGACAGGAAGAGAAAGTTTCATGGGCCTGAACTAAATGGAAAGCCCTGCATTGGACCAGGTAAACCTATCTAGGAATGGTACATGAGAGAGATGGAAAATGACCCATTACATTACACCCAGGCAGTCCTGTCCCCTCCGGGGGGTGGCTGTGTGGAATTGGACACTGCCAGGCAGTCCGGCCCCCTGCCTTGGCAGGGGCTGTGTGGAATTAATCAGTGCCCCTCTGCTGTCACGCATGTCCTGCTTCTGCACCCTGCTGTTACACAGTTGAGTCCTTGGCCCAGTGGTGCCATGCAGTCTTTGCTAATAGATCCTGGCTGTATGGAATTCAGAGGGACCCCTTGGTGGTAGTGCTTTGGTTCCCATACCATGGGATATGCACGGGATTAATACCTTGATGGCTGGATGATCTTGATAAAGCAGAAGTCCAGTGTGTCCGGAAGGTTTCCACGCATTGTTATGAGAACTAAACAAGCACTACCCGGTGAGTGTATTTGAGTATGCACAGTGGTCACATTAATTTTCATTCTGCAAACACAGACTGGTGTTAGCCCCCACTTCAATGATGCCTACAAGGACCTAACCACCTACTAACAGCCAGCAGGTTAACTTGGGAAAGTGAAAATATCTGTATATCATTTGAGCTTTCATAGAATCATAGAATATCAGGGTTGGAAGGGACCTCAGGAGGTCATCTAGTCCAACCCCCTGCTCTAAGCAGTAGTGTCAGGATGTGGCAAATCATTAGCCCTCCCCGCATCTCCAAACTCTCTCTCTCTTTTTGTTTCCTTCAGACTGTAAGGTCTTTGGGACAGAGGCAGGTCTTTTGTACAGCAGCATGCTGATGTTATCCAAAACAAACACTAAATCTTCCTGCTTTGCAGAAATTTCTGTGCAGCTGAGCATAATTGGTCTGTGCAGGCATGCAAAAGTCCCTGTGCTTAAGACTCACAGGATCAAGTGCCTCCTGCAGTAAACAAAGAGCTGTTTTTCTACCTTTTCTGTATGAGGAAGTGAAACTGCTCTTGTTTAAGCAGCAGGCTGTACCTGGGAGTGGCTCATTAAAGACTGCAGGTGCTGAAGCTGAGGCAGGTACCAGTACAAAGATCAGTTATATAACTCATGTAGACACATGCTGTCAGCAACCTCTCACATAGTGTTAAGATTTCAGAATGGATTGTACATAACTCCAGTTATGTGAGTCCTCTTATCTGATGCATGGCTAAATGATTACATGAACTCCTGATTATCCAAAGAAATTGGGTGTCAAGGATAATAATGCCTTTACTACAACTGGAATGACAAAGGCTGGTGCTGTATGTTCTGGTGCATGAATAAAAAAAATGCATGAAAGGTCATAGGCAAATGTTTCCTGTTTTCCTACGTGATGATTTCTAGCAATATTTTGCTGACCCAGGGCACAGTAAGACTTTGCCTTCATCCCCACCACTGCTGTTCAGCTCCCAAGGGTGCCCCTCTCTGCCATTATGGTAAACAGCATCCACTGCTGGAGACATGCTTGCGCCACCACAGGAGACACACCAGGGAGCTATGGTGTGAACAGAAGTGAGGCCTCGGATGGCCTGGTCACACTCTCACCTGTACAGACAGGAAGCTGAGGAGAGCGCTTCTTGGGGCCCGCTTTTCTTTCCCCCACTTTTCGACAGCACAGGCATGTGTTGGAGCAGCCTGTTCCTCATCATGCTGGCCAATCAGAGACTAGAGAAGGTGTCCAAGAACCTGTTTCCTTCCACCTTCTTTCAAACAGAAGAGTGTTGGGTTTTTCAGGCTTGGTGTGCAGTACACTTTGGGTGGGCCAGGCTCAGGAGGCATTGATCGTACAGAGCTAATTCTTACATGCCTGCTCTGGGTTTAAACCTTAGAAAAATGAACGGAGGCCAACATTTTCCAGTTGGGATGTCCCAAGTCAGGCACCTAAATGAACGGGATGGTACTTGGAAGTGCGTAACCAGGCCTCAGCTCCCTTTGATGGTAATGATACCTCCCATTGAACTCTGTGCCTTTCACATCAGGCCAATTACTTAGATCCCCCAAGGAATTTTTATAGGAGAGGAGGGGATTTCCAGAATCATTTAAGCGAGCTTGGAGCACAAAGTCCCAGTGACTTGTAATGGGGTATATGCTCCCAACACCCTGGGGTGCTGTTGGAAATCTCACCCCTAACTCTAGGCACCTGTGGTGGGAAAATGTTAGCCTTCATCTTTTTCTAAAGGACAGTTGGATGGAGCAGTCACCTGCAGCATTCTGCATACTTATTGCCCATTGTCTCTTCTCCTCTTTTAGTTCAGGGAAATGAGTCCTCAAAAGATAGCCTTCATCGGCCACGGTGGCTTCCTTTTAACCCCTAATGAGAGTGGGTGGGTCCAGATCTGGATTGAGGTTTTTCAACAGCAGAAGAGCTAGCGTGTGGAGGAGCAAAGCAAAGAGCAGGTTGCAGGAGCTGACTCTGCAAGTTACACTCCAGGGATGCAAGGGAGCATCCCGGCCAAGGAACTTGCAGGATCAGGGCCTTTGTTTGTAACTACTAGGTACTTCAGTGGAGCTGGGGAGGCTGAAGTTAAGGAGAAATGTTCCTTTTTCAGGTCCTTTGGTGCTGGTACAGAGGCTGTGTGCAGTCACCACTAATGAGACAGTTCACTCATTTGGTTACCAACGTCCACCTCAGCTTGATTCCTGTTCTGCACAGAGCCACTGAAAATTAAATTAATGGAGATATCCTATCTCCTAGAACTGGAAGGGACCTTGAAAGGTGATTGAGTCCAGCTCCCTGCCTTCACTAGCAGGACCAAGTACTAATTTTTGTCCCAGACCCCTAAGTGGCCCCCTCAAGGATTGAACTCACAACCCTGGGTTTAGCAGGCCAATGGTCAAACCACTGAGCTATCCCTCCCCTTTTGAAACCTCACAATTTCCCTTTGAAAATAGGCTGCTGGCTGGCAGTTAGGCTTGTCTACACATGGAGTTAATCCAGAAGAGCTATTATGCTTTAACTCCACACTCTACCTTAATCTGAATGAACTTTCAAGTGTAGACAAGCCCTTTGAGTGTGTGTTTGTGGGGCCATGATTGTCACAGTGCACAGTCTAGTTTTCTCTCATCTGAACTGTAGCTTTGTACCACGAAAGAACCATTCCATTTCCTTAGAAGATAAAGAAGGTTGTTAAATGAGCAATGACTCCTTCCCAGCAATATAACCCAGCTCCTTATGAAATCTGTTCTCTCCAGCTAATAAGAATCATTAGGATTCTTGAGCCTAGTCTGCACTAGAACAGCGGCTCTCAACCTTTCTGGACTGCACCCCTTTCAGGATTGGTCTTGCGCACCCCAAGTTACACCTCACTTAAAAACTATTTGCTTACAAAATCACAGATAAGAAGACAAAAGTGTCACAGCCTCCCTGTTACTGAACAATTGCTGACTTTCTCATTTTTCCTATATATTCTAAAATAAACCAGTTGGAATATAAAGATTGTACGTGCATTTCCATGTATAGTACATACAGCAGTAGAAACAAGCCACCGGCTGTATGAAATGTTAGTTTGTACCGACTTCGCTGGTGCTTTTTATGTAGCCTGCTGTAAAGCTAGGGAAACATCTAGATGAGCCCATGTACCCCCTGGAAGACCTCTGCGGACCCGTAGGGGTCCATGTTCCCGGATTGAGAACCAGCACTTGCAATCACCCGTGAGAAAAGCTCTCTACCAGCACAGCTACCCCGGGAACCCCTCCTAGCGCCGGGCAGCCGCTGGTGTAGCTCAGCGAGTGACTTCAGCTAGTCTGGCAACAGGATCGTTTTGCCATTATAACAGCATCTCCGACCGGGCTGTTGCCAGCCTAGAACGACCCCCTTGTTGAACGGACACACGCTGGCAGGGCGGGGCTGACCCGGCTCGTGTTTCCCCGCTCAGGAAAGACTCCCGGTGCTGGAGGCGATTTCCTGCGAGCCACAGAGCCCGGCCCAGGAAAGCGGACCCGCAGCTCCAGGGCGGACTTTTCCCTCCCCGGCCCCCGCCCAGCTGCAGCCCGCTGGGTCGCTCGCAGCAGCCCGGCACCCCCGAAGGAGGCGGCTCCGGAGCCTTTCGGGGGTTGCCCCCCGCCCCGTGGGGCTCTCCCGGCCGGGGCCGGGGCGAGCCGGGCTCTGTGCACATGGCCCCGCACCGGGGGAGCCTGGCAGCGGAGCCCGGCTGGGCTGGGCTGGGCGGGAGCCGGCCGAGCGCAGCGCCCCCTGCCGCGCACACAGTGAGCGGGGCAGCCCCCGGGCTCTAGGACCGACCCCCACCCGGCAGCGCGCACCTGCCCTGCCCCGCCCCACCCTGCCCTCCAAGACACGCCTCTCACCCGGAACTGCTGTCCAATGGGCGGCGCCGCTCGGGCGCGAGGGCGCGATGCCGCCGCTGCTGTCCAATGGGCGGGTAGAGGGCGGGGCCGCAGGTCCGGAGGCGGCCGGCGGGGGGCCCGGTGCCTGGCAGTGCTGCCCCGCACCCCGTGCCGCGCGCACCATGGAGCCGCCGCTCTCCTCGCCCGGCGGGCCGGCGCTGCCCGTGTGGAAGCGGGAGATCCTGGAGCGGAAGCGGGCCAAGCTGGCGGGGCCGCCCGCGGGCGGGGAGCCGGAGCCGGGCGGCGGGGGCGCGGCGCCCCAGGAGGAGCGGCTGGTGCTGGCCGACAGCCTGGGCCCGCTGCGCGAGAACCCCTTCATGCGGCTGGAGAGCGAGCGGCGGCGGCTGCGGCAGGGGCTGCCCGGGGGCGGGCGGCGGGGCGCGGCGCGGCCCCTGCAGGAGCTGCTGGAGCTGTACAGCGCCGTGCCCGGCATCCGCACCATCCGCGCCGACAACATCCTCATCATCGAGTCCCAGCCCGACGCCGCCGCCTGCTTCGCGGCCGGGGAGGGCGCCCGGGACCCGCCGCCTGCCGCCTCGCCGCGGGGCCGCGACCCGCTCCGGGACCTGCTGGCCCGCCAGGGCTCGGCGCTCACCGAGATCCGCGCCGCCCAGGTCTTCGTCTACGAGCCGGTCGAGCCCGGCCAGGCCGGCAGGGTCAGCCGCCTGCTGCAGAAGTTTGACCAGTGGCCGCGGGGCCGGCGGCGTCGGAGCAGGGACGCGGAGCCCGCGGTGCCAAACTCCCCTGGCAGCCCCCCGGCCCGGCCGGTCCCGGGCTCCCCGGTCAGCGTTGCAGCCCCCCAGCGGGTCCCGGT